CCCCAAAACCCCAAAACCCCAAAACCCCATATAATATTTTCATTGTTGAAACAAGATATGACTCCTTAAGACTTATTTCGGCCGATTTCTGGACTGAAATTTCTCCAAAATTATCACACAAGGACCATCCTTCCGTTATAGTTGGACATTGATCCGTAGAAGTGCACAATTGCTGCTAGAAGAACACAGAAATGGAATATGTTGTGCGAGGATCCAAAATAATCGAACGTCTTAGGGAAGAACTTCTCTGGGAATCTGATACTGTAGATCACTGCTCCACTGATATAGATAGCTCCTCCCATGATCCAGTGCCACTGTGGGAATGGGTATAGGTATAGAGAATTTCCGAACAACAAGTGGAATGAAGGCAACGCTGTGCTTAATCCTGCAGCAATGTATAGCATTGCCCTGAATTTTCTGAACTTTGGCTTATCAAATTTTGGGAGAAGAGTTACTACAAACGCAGCAAAGCATATGGAAAATATCATTACACTATAGACATAAGCCCAAAGTCTTGTCTCTTCTCAGTAGAACGAGTAAAAGTAAGGAGGCATGCAAGATCCAGCAATTAGGAAGGAAATACCTCCATAATCAAGCCTTGAAAGATAGCTGTTCGCTGTGTGGTTTCAGCAAGCAAATAAATGGAAGAAGCTGCTGAAAGAAAGACATATTATAGCGGCTATCATATGAACATACAAAGGAATTCTGGTGATTTCATGTACTTTGCTGTAATTGTCCTTCAGGTCTCCTGTAATGATCAATTTCTTGACATTTTCAGAATTGAAGTGATAATTCACGCTTCTCTTCACGTTGGCCAAGTGGCCAATCTTCTTCTCAAAACTATTTTTATTCTTCTCTATCGCTTGGTCAAGTCTGTCGACAAGTATTGGTTGAATTTTCTTGAACACCTCATAAAGATTCTCTCTAGGTGTATTTTCAGGGATCTTCTCTATAATCCTGTTAGACAGCACAAGTTAAGAAATTACCTGTAGAGAATTTTTGTATGATCAGCAGGAGGTAGTCTAAGGAGGTATCATATAGCTGAGCTTCCAAACTTGCTTGAGTCTGAAACACAGGAGCTGCTTGATTCTCTCCCTCAACTGGTGTGGGAGTCGCCTTCTCCACCTCCAAGTTGAAGTAGAATGGGTTCTCGAACTCTACACTCTTGTGCCAAAGATCCACAGAGGCATTTATGTATTCTTGTGATGACGCATTTGATAATAATCCCTGGTTACTTTGAGAATCTTTGTAAGATGTGGTGATTTCAGTTCGATATTTTGAAAATTTGAAATTTATGAAGTCAAACTTGTTTATAAGATTGTCCAACGGACGTGTAAACTCCATCCCACCGACGAAGAAAACGATGTAGAAGATCAAGGAGTAGAACAATATCACACCGATGAGATGAGACCAGACATTTGTAGTCTCATTGTGACACATAAAGAGAGATTTTAACACATCCCTCACTCTATAGAAACCTATTCTATAGCCACGGGATATGAACTTGTTGTCCACCAGCCATTCTGGAGCTTCTTCTCTCATCCCTATGTGTGGCTTGATACACTTTTTCTGAGGCTTGTCAGGATTGTGAATAGAGCAACTAGGGCTTCCTTTCTCTTCTCCTTGTTCCAACTGTAATGCTTCCTTTGCATTCAAGTCTTCCTCTAAAACTTCAAGTTATGAGACGTTATCTAGTTTGAAGATATAGCTTCATTCACCTGAAATCTAATGTATGGGATTAGGTTATATATTAAGCAAGTCCCAAATTTATAGAAGGTCTTTGCCTAAGACCAACAGAAAATTTCTTAACAATGGGAAATCTTGACGATTTCTCTATACTAACTTGCCATAACGAGACAAGGACGTCAGTGCCGAGAAGTAATAAACATCTTATTTTATCCTTTTACTAAGTTATGTTTCCAACCTTACCTGTAGGACTTGGCTGCTTTGGAGGATCAACTGTCTGCTTCACTTGGGGAAGTCATTCATTGCTATAGTTAATTAGAACAACTTCTAGTGGTACTACAAGACGAGTTTGTGCAAAAACTTGTAGTTGAGTACTTAGCCAAATACAAATTTTATTGATTTTAATACCTAGGACCAAGATCTTTTGGATGCGATTTCATTAAAATATCAAAATGGCCCAGAAAAGGATTGAACAGTGCTAATTGTTTGCTAGGGCGAAGCTAACTTCAGTAATAATAATTAATCAAGGATCAGAGGCTTAGTCCGTACTCATCTTTCATTTCTTTGTATTTCTTCATTTCTGACAGGAGGTAATGTAAATATTAATTAGTTCAAATTCAGTGCGAATTTATCCCAATGGGGTTTTGGGGTTTTGGGGTTTTGGGGTTTTGGGGTTTTGGGGTTTTGGGG